GTTCTGAGCAATAGTATTATCCCATAACTCCACCTCATGGTGATCTTCATTGGTGCCAGACCGAGAATTATATCCACGTTCACCGCGACCACCAGTGCCACGGCCACCGGCGCCAAATCGACCGCCACCACGACCTCCACGACCAGCATAACCAGCTCCACGGCTACCACCACTACGGCCACCACCGCCTCCTCCACCACCTTCTCTACGACGATAGTTGTCATTGCGATCATCACCGCCTCGTGAATCACGTAAATTACGTTCATTCTCACGAGCTTCTCTGCCGCGCCCTATACATCGTATAATAGTTATTTAAGTACAATGTGATAAACATACATAAATTCAATAAAGCTTACAGCCGCGACTATCGGTGCCGCCGCGTCCGCCACGATTACTACTCCGATTACGTGATTTCTCACGTCTGTCAGTGTTTGCATTGGTGTCAGTCCATTCTCCATCGCCACCAGCACTTTCTTGACCGGCATTTGCAGCTTTGTTCTTTTTCTTCTTTGAAGATGTCTCAAATGCACCCTAAATATAAAATAATTCAGTAACAGAATTTCATTAATAACGCATTTAAATAATTAACAAACCACTGGAAGGGTCTCGAAGAGATATACAACAGCAAGTTCTAAATCGTTATCACATTCATATAATGCGCAACATACTTCCTCTTCAGAACGTTGAGTCATTTCAATAAGTGTAGCGACTTTTTCGCGCATTTGCGGATCCTCTGATGTGTTACTATTGGTGATTTGGGCTATACGTAACTGTTCAGCAGTTGGCTGCAAAATTAATTTAAAGTGAAGTGTAATTATTAAAATCAATAATTGATATTTAATTGTAGCTTACCTTTGGATGCGATTTTTCTTTTTCTGTCTTTGAGACATCTGTTTTTTTAGTTGATGTCTGTAAGGCAGAATCCCCACCTCCGCCACCTCCACTGCAAGAATTTGATTTTTTTTGGTTGCGACCCCCGCCGCTATTTCGATTTTGTGTGCTCATATTTATATGTACACTGTATTTACAAGTAAGCTTAAGGAACAAAACATTAATTGGGAAGGAATATATTTTCTGTTGAATAAATGATCAATCATTTAATAAATTATCTACGACTAATCATTAATATAACTGATGCATACAATTTTGTTGGTTTTAAGGAAAACTAACGGGGAATATTTAGTATCGCGCCGGTTAAATATCGTTTATGGAGAAAAACAGGGTCGGGCTA